TTCTCCTGCTTGTGTTAATTTAATGCTGCTTCTAACAGACCAGGAAACGCTCAATAAATCATTGTTCTTAACTTTCTAGATTACATTAGTACTCTTTTACTGGCTTGTGTCTTTATCTGTTATCTCTATAGTATTCCAGGTATCAATGTATCTCTAAAATCTTGAAATTCAAGTATGCTTCACCCAAGTCTTGTCTAACTTTCTCTTATTTATACTGATATCCTAGTCGCCCACGAACCCATGATCCTAAAGGGACAATCCAGGCACCAAAACAACTTAATCTAAACTCCAGGTACCAAAACATTTTCATCTAAATTAAGTTATGGTGCCAGGAGTCCCCCAGAGGCACTCTTACCTTAAGGGGTTAAACTGTTCTCAAACAGTTTAACCCCGAGTCTCTTCCAGCTGCAATCTCCTATTCCCCCCCAGGTGCCATCCGGCTTCTGAAATTTAGCTTTCAGGAAGTGCAGAGCCCCGCCGGGTAGGGGGCTACATTGATTGACTGAGATCGGTCAGCTGATGCTCTCAGCCAATCAGTGACTCCCTAAGCACTAAACTGGCTTGGAAAAGGTACATGTTTTTTGGTGCCTGGGGTGTCCCTTTAATCACAACCTAAAGGAGAAGCAGTTGCTATGTATTCCCATTGCAGAAACAAGGGAAAGGTACACATAGAATGGCCTTGTAATTAGCTCACATTTTAAGCAGTGATTTACCATTCATATAATTAGCAATCAAATTGTTTTCTAGTGGTTTTGACAACTTACCTGAGGTGTGCTGGGTGCTTCCAATGGTTTTCCTGAGCTAAGTCCTACAGTACAGGAGTAGCTAACTGAAATTGTCAGCTAATTGCCCACAGTCAATGATCTAAGTTGAGCACAGCTGGTCAACCTGAGAGCAGAGAGTTTTTAGCTCTACTGGAGGAGGTTATCTGTGTTGGGATGGAGTTATGACTCAATAATCTACCAATTTAACCCAAACATTCACAGTACAAATTATCTCATTCAAGCTCATATATACATTTTTCCCCAAAAATTTTATATTTCAACAATTTATGCCGTTTTCAATGAGAACACAATCTCTTATATTTAAGCTGCTTTATTTATAGCAAATCTTGGCACCCCTAATGCTAGTGACCTACATTTTTCACAATGCTCAGTCAGCGTTAAATGAAATGTTTTGCCTATCAAACACCTGGGTGCCAAAGTTAGCCATTACTGAGCTCTATAGGTTTGTTTCCCAGCATACTCTAAAAACCAGCGCTTCAATCATCAGTGTAGGCTAAAACATTGTATTTCATATTCCAATCTAAGCGTGTATCATTTCCATTTTATTATTGTTACATAATTGCATTAACATCTAGTGTTCAATAACCCCCAATGCTTGCTGCTTTCATTTCCAGCCTGTTAGTCACACTAATCTCACATTATGTAACTAGCATAAAACACACAAATCAGTAAGCCATTCATATGTGAGACATAAACACTGCACACAAACCATTGAAGAGTTTCCCCAATATTGAAGGGACATTCTGGCGGTTAAAGCAATCCCTCTTTTTAAATGCATTATGTAAATAACATACTGTGCATTACATATGCAAAACTTGCATTAAAAAATAAATAAAATACTCATCATTAATATTTCTGCTGCTGCCATTATACACTGTAAGCAGAAGCACTAGACCCATCACTCACTGACAGAGTGCCAAGGAATATGCCAATCATGGGGACACTGGTACACATTCGGACACTGGGTCCCCTAGCTTCTCCATGTGCTCCTATGTCTCCCAGTGTTTGTCCCCTAGTGACATGAGGAAAAAGACCTTGGGGGACACTGGGTGACATGGGGCACTGTGATACATAGTGACACTGTGATACATGGTCTCAGGGCACCCTAGTGACATGAGGTTACTGCGAGACACTAGGGGACACAGACACCAATCAATCTATAGCAGAATCAAACTGTAAGTTGTTTTTTTTTAATTTTACAGAATTCTCTTGTGACTCCTTGTGATTTACATTATGTGATGTCATGCATACATAATTAGTAAGGCCTGAATTTTTTCCAAGAAAGGTGGCAACCCTAACTACTCTTCACATATTTTTGCTTAAAGGAACACTATAGTCACCTAAATTACTTTAGCTAAATAAAGCAGTTTTAGTGTAAATATCATTCCCCTGCAATTTCACTGCTCAATTCACTGTCATTTAGGAGTTAAATCACTTTGTTTCTGTTTATGCGGCCCTAGCCACACCTCCCCTGGCTATGATTCACAGAACTGCATGACTGCATGAAAAAAACTGGTTTCACTTTCAAACAGATGTGATTTACCTTAAATAATTGTATCTTAATCTCTAAATTGAACTTTAATCACATACAGGAGACTCCTGCATGGTCTAGCAAGCTATTAACATAGCAGGGGATAAGAAAATCTTAATTAAACAGAACTTGCAATAAAGAAAGCCTAAATAGGGCTCTCTTTACAGGAAGTGTTTATGGAAAGCTGTGCAAGTCACATGCAGGGAGGCGTGACTAGGGTTCATAAACAAAGGGATTTAACTCCTAAATGGCAGAGGATTGAGCAGTGAGGCTGCAGGGGCATGTTCTATACACCAAAACTGCTTCATTAAGCTAAAGTTGTTTAGGTGACTATAGTGTCCCTTTAAGTATGGAAAATGAAGATGGGTATATGGAAACAAAACCTGTGTGGACCAGCTGAAATTGGTTAAGGCAAGCATGTCAAACTCAAAGTCTAGCACGGGCCAAATAAACAAGGTTTAGGTTTATGTGGGCCACAAAAAAAAAAACCTTAGATTTTCATAGAAACGTAGGTTTATTTTGAAAAGTTCAGTATAAAAAAATGCATCCCCCTACTAAATCCCAGTCCTCCTTCTACTAAATTCGCTTTCAGGAAGTGCAGAGTGCCGCGGGGTAGGGGCTACATTGATTGACTGAGATCGGTCAGCTGATGCTCTCATCCAATCAGTGACTCCATAAGCACTAAATTGGCTTGGAAAAGGTACATGTGTTTTTGTGCCTGGGGTGTCTCTTTAATCACAACCTAAAGGAGAAGCAGTTGCTATGTATTCCCATTCAGGGGCGTTTTAGCCGCGAGGCAAACAAGGCATTTGCCTTGGGCGGCATTTTTCAGGGGGCGGCAAAAAACGCGGCTAACAGACATGCCGAGCGGGCGGGCGGCACTGGGCTGGGCGGGCGGCTGGCGAGGGAGCTCTTCCTCTGAGCTGTCCGCTCAGCTCCCTCGCGCGCCACAGAGTGAGGCTGGGAGCCGGAATATGACGTCATCTTCCGGCTCCCAGCCTCACTCTGCGGTGCACGAAGGAGCTGAGCAGACAGTTCAGAGGAAGAGCTCCCTCGCCAGCTGCCCGTCCAGCCCAGCGCCGCCCGCAGCCACTGGACCACCAGGGAGATAGAGAACCCCCAGCATTCCCAAAGGTAAGAGGGGGGGGGTAAATTTAAAAAAAAAAGTGTGTGTGTTTGTTAGTGTGTGTGTCTGACTGTGTGTGTCTGCTAGTGAGTTAGTGTGTCTGACTGTGTGTGTCTGTTACTGTGTCTGTGTGTGTATTTAGGGGGCGGGGGAAGGGGGCGCCTGAGTTTTGTCCTGCCTAGGGCAGCACAAAACCAGGATACACCACTGTTCCCATTGCAGAAACAAGGGAAAGGTACACATAGAATGGCCTTGTAATCAGCTCACATTTTAAGCAGTGATTTACCATTCATATAATAAGTAGTCACCTGCAATGTGGAGAAAGCAGGTGCCTACTCTGCTTAAACACTAAGCATGTGCTCGCCGGGCCGCAAAAGATGTCCATTGTGGGCCCACGAGTTTAACATGCTTGAGTTAAGGAGTTAAGGTAATGCTGACTTTGGTCTCTCTAATAGAGTTGAGCGGACACCTGGATGTTCGGGTCCGGCTGGTTTGGCCAAACTTTGAGTTAAGTCCGGGTTTGGGCTCGAACTTGACCCCGAACTCCATTGAAGTCAATTGAGACCCGAACTTTTGGCCACAAAAATGCCTCTAAAAAAACTACTGGAAAGGGCTAGAGAGCTTCAAAAGGAAGTAAAATGGGGGCAAGAGTAGAACAAGTGCTCTGCAAACAAATGTGAATAGGGAAATCATTTAAAATAACATAAAAATTTAAAATACAGCTGAGCCATAAAATGGCACTACCGTGTTTCTCCGAAAATAAGACCGGGTCTTATATTAATTTTAGTCACAAAAAACACACTAGGGCTTATTTTCAGGGTAGGGCTTATTTATTTACGGTACCGGTATGTACATTGAACCCCCCCTTTAATTAATCCACCCCCCTTTAATAAATCCACCCCCCTCTAATTAATCCACCCCCCTCTAATTAATCCAGCCCACCCTTTAATTAATTCACCACCCCTTTAATTAATTCACCCACTCTAATTAATCCAGCCCACCCTTTAATTAATTCACCACCCCTTTAATTAATTCACCCCCTTTAATTAATTCACCCCCCTCTAATTAATCCAGCCCACCCTTTAATTAATTCACCACCCCTTTAATTAATTCACCCCCTCTAATTAATCCAGTCCACCCTTTAATTAATTCACCCCCCTCTAATTAATCCAGCCCACCCTTTAATTAATTCACCACCCCTTTAATTAATTCACCCCCTCTAATTAATCCAGCCCCCTCTAATTAATTCACCTCCCCTTAATTAATTCACCCCCCCTTTAATTAATTCACCCCCCTCTAATTAATCCAGCCCACCCTTTAATTCACCCCCCCTTTAATTAATTCACCCCCCGCCCCCTTTAATTAATTCAGTCCCAGACATAAAATATCTAGCGGTACTCACATTTCAAAGTTTCCTTGCCGAGTCCGACCACTGGGAGCCTCACCGCCTGGAAATGGATCCTTCCGCTGAAGATCCGTGAAGGCAGACTGACGGCGCTGCGAAATGTCGTCATCACGTTGCGCGATGCCGCGGCCCGCAACGCTCCTCCTACAGTAGAAGAAGGAAGTCTCGCCGAAAAGGTACAATGCCTAGGTCTTATTTTCGGGGTAGGGCTTATATTACAGCCCACCCCGAAAATCCGACTAGGGCTTATTTTCGGGGTAGGGTTTATTTTCGGGGAAACACGGTAGATGGAATTTTTGATTTTAGCTTTGGAAGAACATAAATCTAAAGCTGTCAGGAGGATCAACAGAATTATCGATTTGAGAGAGGGTTGGAGTGCAGGGTATTCATAGTTTATACTAAGTGACCCATAGGTTGAGGAGGTGGTGACCGTGGAAGAGGAGGATGAGGTAGCCAACACTGGTAATGGGGAATCAGGATTCCATTCCATACAGGCACCCTGAGAAATGGCTACCACATGCAAGGAAGGCAGCAGGCGTGCAAATGACCCACTCCCGACGCGGCAAGGCAGTGATGTAATTGTAATGAGTCCACTTGAAATCTTTTAACTCTGATCAAATGGAGGGAAGTCTGGTGCAGAGCCACTGACCGTGCGTGCTGCAGCTGAAACTCCACTATTGCCTGCTGCTGCTCGCACAGAATCATGAGGTGGTGAGCGGGGAAGGCCGAAGTTACGCTGCAGTGCAGACAGGCGAGCAACAGCAGGGTGACAATGCCAAAAGCAAGCACAGCCGCTACAGTGAATGTCACATCCTAACAGTGTCTGGGTCCTGGTCACCGGACTGCCCACCTCACTGTGATACTATGAATGGATCGTTAAATCTGGTACAAACCCGAACTTTACAGTTCGGGTTCGCTCAAGTCTATTATGCATCCTTTGATCACTACATGTATTACTTGGATAGCTGGTAATTCTCTAGCTAATACATGCCGACGAGCGCTAGGCTCCGCTTTTGCACCCTGCTCCCTCTTATGCTGTACTGGCGCCTCTTCCTCCAAACTGCACACGTCACTTGCATGACCTTGATTCCATGTGGGGTCTAGGACCTCATCATCCTCCACATCATCTTCCACCCACTCCTCAACCCTGCCCTCCTTTCCGGTATGCACACTGCAGAAAGCCACAGCAGTTGGCACCTGTGTTTTTCCAGCATGTAAAGTCTGCAAGGACATATGGAAATTGTTTTAGAATTGTATCCAGGCAACAGTTTTCCATATTAACTGATCTCTCAGTTTGACTTGTGAGGGTATTGCCCCAGAATTACAATTTTGTTGAAGTAGCTATTGATCACTGGTTTAAATATAGCAGCTTGTTATCTGGTAGTTTCTAGTGTAGAAAATATAAATCTGTTTTCTATCACTTGGATCTTTGTAACAAGTGTTGTAGGTGTGAAACAATATTACAAGTGACCGATGTAGTAAATTTGAATCAAAGTTATGCTTCAATTTTGACTCTCAGATATGAAGTGAACACCCCAAATATACTATTTAGCGCACACCCCCCTCCCCCCCCAAAAAAAATACTTTTTAAAACTCCAATGTAAGCAGCAGATTAGCAGCAAAACATTTAGAATTTTTACAAGTGCGCAGAAAGCACACTATTAGACGCTTTGATTTAAATCTCAGATATGAAGTGCACCACACTAATGTACTTTTTAGCACCGAGAAAATTTTAAGTTTTAAAACTGCAATGTGACAGCAGTATTTGACGATTCTATTTGACTCTCAAATATGAAGTGCAGATATGAAGTGCACCCCACCCCACTAGTTTGCAAAATTCTTCCCTAAGCTGTCCCTATCAGCGGCAGCATCCTCTCCCTACACTAATAAGACCGCATGTGCGTGTGGCGCTACGCGACTCCAGCTTATATATAGAGTCTGGGTCACATGCTGCACTGGCCAATCACAGCCATGCCATTAGTAGGCATGGCTGTGATGGCTTCTAAGAGCACACGAGTCAATCGCTTGTTGATTGGCTGCCCTGCAGCCTTTGAAAATGCGCCATTAAATCACCGAACTCCAACCCGAACATTCAGTGATATGGCCATGTTCAGGTCCGGGGTCCAAAAAACCTAATGTTCGGTACGAACGCGAACTTTTACATTCGGAATCGCTGAACTCTACTCTCTAACGCTGTGGCATATTCCCTGTATTCTACACTCACTACATCCACCTTTTCTCTGTCTCAGACTCTAATGGAGACTGGGCTCCCAATTCCCAATAAATCACACTGCCGCTGGGGATCTGAGCCGACTGCCCAGCATCCCTGTAGCTCACCCTGCCACTGGGGAGGGAGGACGCTGCACTCCTCTCCCTGCAAGGTACACTGCTGCTGAGGAACAGGACCACTTGTCTCTGCCCCCTGTAACTCAGCCTGCCGCTGGGGAATGGAGCTCGGGCTCCCAATTCCCTGCAATACCGGTGGAGAGACCTCGGTCCCATCTCCACCCGCCACCTGGGGTTCTTCCCAGTAATCCTCCGCAATATCTACCCCGCTGAATGGGTCTGGATCTGGGTCTCCGCTTCCCTGCTGAGCCTTCTCACTGGAGTGGAACAGATCTTGGTAGCCCTGCTCCAGCTCCATCCCAGTCATACCTGCTCTCCCTCCACTCCAAGAGATCACTGAACCGGGCTTGTGTAGGGCTCCCAAACTCAGGCTCTGTAAAAGACTCCCATAACAAGCCAGGACCATCAAACCCCTCTCCCTCTGGCTTGTCATGCTCGGCTGTCCAGGTCTGGTACTGCGCCCCATACCACCAGAGCGCCTGGTAGGCATCTTCCAGCCACATCTCCTGTCATACCCGGAGCTCCAATTCCTTCACCCATACCTCCAGGGGCTGCTCTCCCAGGAAGGGCTAGTCACTTCTGCAATCGCTGGTCTTCCTTGGGGAGTCTCTCGCCCCGCTGGTACTCCACAATGCCCAGTGCCTGGTACCAGATGCCTTTGCGAACTGCATCTCGGTCATCCATGACACCCCACTGCTGGTTCCATTCTGATGCTGTCAGGGTCACTGTACTCAGACATGCGTTGCCCTCAATTTGTAAAATCCAAAGAAATGGTGTCTCCTGTAGATGTCCTTCTGGCTGTAGGAACAATCCCGCCGCTTGCCACCAATTGTAACGGCACCCTCAGCATAAAAGGGTTAAACCGCCATTTAGTAGATCTTCCCTTCAAGAGACACAGGCACAGCTACTGCAGAACACCAATCCGCCGAACAGGAAACCATATGAATGCCGTAAACAGCCGAATAGGAAAAACCATACGAATAGGTTTACACTCCTAGCAGTCAAACTGGAACAGCATACAGTAAATCCCCCCCAAAAAACGAGACAAAGCTGTGTTGAGGGTCAAGCAGTAAACAGTCAGAGCTGTGGGTTTATTGTGCTTATGTACACATTCTTACACATTAGTACCACCCACAGGGTTTTGGAACACAACCAATAAACACGTGCAATACACTCAGACACTCCCATACAAATTCCTCCCCTCTGCCTGTGATTCAATTACCTTACACAATGGGTAATGTAATTATAACAAGCAGAGAAATACAATTTTTCCACATTATTCATAACTTGAAAAATATGCATCACATTCACATATAACTTACATTTCCAGAATCAGCATACTCCAAATACAAACATACGTCCAAATCATCCAAATTGGTCCAGTGGTTCATAAGATAGATCGTACTCTTTTGTGACCAAAGGAAGCATGGCTTTTCTGCCCAAAACCAGTTCCACAGAGTCTTCTATCCTGGAGATAATTGGGAAGTAATCCAATTATCTCCAAAGACAGAGGCAAAACTCCATTGAACACATGGCAGCAAAAGACAATAAAACACATAAAAACATATAACTATGCAGCCATTGCACAAAACAGGTACATTCAACATATCCCCAGATAGCTCAGATCTGAGCGCACATTATTACTGAATGGCGCTCAGAGCACACACAGTTCAATTGCCATGGAGCCAAAGTCTTTCCCATAGTCTTTCATTATACGAATGGGCTCCATGGCATAGCTATCTGGGGTATCACCGCTCAAACAGGGCAAGCCCCAAATGACCCGGCTTTCATGTCTTTGCAGGGAAAAATCAAGCCTTTTAACATGGGGCCATAATCCAAAGTTACAAACTATACAGAAATTAACAGTCACAAGGCAAACCATACTAATAGGTGCAAAATTGTAGGAGGATATTGAGCAAGATGAGTAAAAGCGGTGTAGAATTTCTATTATAACTGAAGGAAACTTACGTAATTGCTTGCAGGTGATATTGCTAAATTTTAGAATTTTTTGCTTTTGCTTATGTCAGGTCTACATATGGAGAAAGAAGGAATGCAAAGGAAAATGGTGTGTATATATTGGGATTATTCTCTGAAATCTGAATGGCCTCATACCAAAATCCAGACACTGTTTGTGCAATTTAACAATGTAAACATTTTGTAATTTAGGCCCCTGAATTTGGTCTGGATTTCAGATGGTGGCTGAGTTCCAGACTGACTGCTGCAAATCTGGGCCTGGAGAGAAGGGGGACAGGGGGAAGGAGAGACCACCAAGGGAGAAGGGAGAGGGGGGAGATGGAAGGAGAGACCACCAAGGTGAGGAGGAAGGAGACCACTGAGGGGTCGGGGGGAGAGAGGGAAGGAGAGACCACCTGGAAAGGGGGGGAGAGAGAGGGAAGGCGAGACCACCAGGGTGGGGAGAGAGTACCAGGCGAGGGGGGAGGAGAGAACACGTTGGGTGGTGGGGAAGAGGAGAGACCACTTGGGAACAGGAGAAACCACTGGGGGGAGGGGGAGAGACTAGCCTGGCTGGGGGCGGGAGGGAGAGACCACTAATGGGGTGGGGGAGAGGAGAGACCACTAAGGGACAGGGGAGGAAAAGAGAGACCACCAAGGGGGGAGAGGAAAGACCTCTAATGTGTAGGGGGTGTAGGGGAAAGCAGTAAGGGACAAGAGGGGAGAGCTCCAAGGGACAGGTGGAAATGAAAGAGATTAAGGGACAGGGGAGTGAAAGACCTACAGAAAGGGGGGAGGAAGAGAAGTACAGAAGTGCTGGTAGGGGAGTAAGACACACAAAGAAGTTGTGAGGATGTAGGAGACATACAAAGAGGGGGGATAAAAGACAAACAAGGGGCTTGCAAGAGATTTTTTATTTTTTGTGCTCCCCTCTCAGCCCCTATCCTACCCCACAAACTGTCTTTCAAAATACACACAATGCATCCCTATACATATACAGAAACACACCATGCTTCCCTTACACACAATGCATCCATTACACACAGAATGCATCCCTTGCACACATACACAGAAACACAAACACACACTGCTTCTCTTGCACACAATCAATCAGCACCCCTTACAGACACACACTGCATCCCTTACATAAACACACCTTGCATCCGTTACACATACAAACACAGATTCACACAATACATCCCTCACACACACACACTGTTTTCTATCCTTTTCACAAAAACACACTGCATCCACTACACACACACACTGCATCGCCTATACAAACTGGTATCCCTATTCTCTACATTCCATAAGCACACACATTAGGACCTCTATGGGTGGGCCTTATGGGAATACTCACAGTCAAGCCCTGGGAGCTCAGACTCAGACACTAATCTCTAATTTACCTCACATTAAAGGGACACTATAGTCCCCAGAACCACTGAGGCTCAATGTATTGTTTCTGGTGTCTGTAGCCGTTCTCTGCAGGCTTTTTAATGTAAACACACACTGTGTGCAGCACTGGCTTTAGTTCATATGGCAGATCATATGGGTGGGGCATTGTGATGTCACATGGTGGGCAGCGCATATGGGGAGGACAGCAAATTTTTATTTTCCCTAGGGCAGCAAAAATCCTTGCACAGGCCCTGGGGATGCCCACTGGCAGCACTAGAACCAGTGGACAAATAGATAATAAAAAAAATGATGATGGCAGAATTATTAAATGGTGGTGGCTGGCCTGTGGGCAGTGCGTGGGGCTATTTTAATATTCATGGGGAAGGACCTAGTGTCCTCCCCAGTCCCACCAATTTGTCAAAAAGGTAAAAAATGTGGTCATTGTTTAGTGAATAATTGTGTGTTTATAAATGTATAAACATCACTTGAAGCTAAAACATAGAGATCTGCTCCATTTACCAACTTATTTTGCTTCTCAATGTGATTCTAAATCTGATTGTGTCAATTATCTCTACATATATTTAGTACTGTCCCTAGTCTACCCAAGTCAGATCATATTTGTGCCTAGAAGGAAGGCGAACGATATAACTACCTATATCGTTAATGGAGTTTATGTATCAAGAAATACCCAGCAACAAATTCAGCAACACATTTGTGATTCAGGCAGAATTTTTTTGTGAACATGGATAGGGCTATATGCAAATCCAAACACCATGTTGTGAGTAAAATCGAGTCTTCTTCTACACATTGTCTATGACTAGCAGAAACAGGCAAGGGGACCCACTCTCCCTTATTCTGTTTCTCTTGTCCTCAGGCTAATTCTGTTTCATTGGCACAAGCAGTGCAGATGGGATGGGCTGCTGGGGAGTCTCATTTAGTATTAAAAACATTTAATGCTGAATGGAAGGATTACTTCAGGGGACACTATAACCACTTAAAGAAATGAAGCTGTTACAGTGCCTACAGTTCCATTTAAAATGATCCTTGCCACCATTAGACAATACCTAAATAAGACTACCTATTGTCTTCATTGAAATACCAAAAGGTTATGTCATACATCACATACCTTATTTTCACCATCGCCAAATCCAAAATCTCTTACTGCCCAGCAGGAATTCTGTCATCATGACAACCCCCCTTTTAATAGAAACTTTTAAATCTTTTGTTGTCACACAACAAGCACGTTTAAAAAGATGGATTGTTCCAGATTTGGTTGGATCAAGGAGATCATTTTGTGAAGATGAATTTACTACCTTGGCTTTGCTTTCTGTAAAAAAAAAAAAAAAAAATGTAAAGGTGCTTCTCACCTGATGTATATCCTTAAGTGGTCCTTATGCAAACTTCTCAATCTTTAGGTTGTTTTAGAGGTGGATTTTTCTAGTCTTGCTTTGCTGATCATACTGAGGGGTGCCTCTTGTTCAGAATAAGTACTTCAATTCTGGTTTTGTGAGATCACCCTCTAGAAGTTGTAAAGCAGTATTAACTCTGCAATGTAATACATTGCAGTTTTGTAGACATGTCATTGTTTACATTGAAGGTAAAACAAACGTCTAATGACTGTCTTCCTGACAGCTACTAGAGGCGCTCCCTCTGCGATGATCAAGGAAAACTTAGTCATGTGACCTAATGCAGCTCGTAGGAATTATTGAATTCTTGTTGTACATGCGCATCATGTCACAAATGCAGCTCTATGTGCATTGGACGGGACCATCCCCAAGAGCACAACTCCTGGTAGTGAAGCAAGTACAGCACCGAGAGTTTTTTAGGATTGGAAAAAATGTAAGTAAAAACTTTTCTTTTTGCTATTTTTATTACAGCTGGTGGGCCGTCTAATCTAAATAGGGACTAAGGCAAAATTTGTACAGGTTTGTATTCCTAATACCATTGTGTTCCTTGAAGCGTGAATATTATATTATTATTACTACGATTCTTATTAATTTTAATTTATTAAAATGTATTACACTACTACAGTTAATTTATTACACTAGCTTTATAAAGCGAAAAATGTGTCATAGCCAGCCTGGAGAATGCCTCCATGTAAATAAAGTAATTTTAGGATATTTTTGTTAAATAACTTTTTTGACAGAAATTGTATAACTAGCAGAGCTCTCTTTATGCTAAAAAAATCTAACTATATGTATTTTAATATCATCTTTACAAAATAATATCCATACAATTTGACATCAGGGTTGGATTCAACTTTAATTTGCAATGTAGGAATTCTTTATAAAAATAACAAAATTTAAGATGCAAGACTTTGATCCCTGCAATTTTAAATCACACAATCTCTCTGATTGTTTAAGAACTATGTTCACGTATACCAGCCATTCTCTAGGAGCTGTTTTTCTCCACAGATAAATTAAATCTGACAATTCATCCCTCTTATTCAATTTGACAAAATCCTCTGGTACAAAGCTTTAGAAAGTTCATCTTTAATGTGTGTCTGAATGAAAAGGAATTTATTTTTAAATTGAATATGAATGTGGTGCACAAAATGCAAATCTGGGTTTCATAGTAATATCTGCAAACTAGTTTTAAAAGTGCATTATGCAACAGACAAAAGAAAGTGAAATGTGGTGAATGTGCGAAAAGATACCAAACAATAAAAGGAATTATGTATATAAAAATAGGACCAACAAAGGAAAAGATTAGAGTTTTAAATATAGAAAGCAAATATTCTTGGCATTCAAAGCTCAAATATGACCTTGATCGCGTGATGTCTGCCTTTATTGGAAAGCTCTAAATATAGTACATTTATGATACTTATTAACTCCTTTCTTCCAACTCTATTTTTAAATATGAATACAATCAACAAGTGACAAAGTGGCGCTTTAAAAGTAATAATGTGAACCTTAATAAATAAAGCAGCACCTATAAATGTATTAGCCCACAAAACACGAAATTACAGTCAAAACAGAAAAAATAAGTGCACTAAAATTCAAAGTGCAAATTGTCTAGCATCATCAAACATGTGAAATAAAGTACACTTTATTTCACATATTTGATGTTGCTAGACAATTTGCACTTTGAATTTTAGCACACTTATATTTTTCTGTTTTGACTATTTTTAAATATGGTTCAACTTTGATTTTAAATTACAACGCAATGCAAACAGAAATGTTCCCCTATGAAGTCCCCTGTGTCTACTTGGCACTTTTCTCAAGCTGTAGACAAATGTATTTCTGCAAGTGCACTCTAATCCACTCTTTCTCAGGGTTTCCAGCAATAAATTATTTTTGCAACAAAAAAATAAAATCTTCTTAAAAGAGACTCTTCCCATAGGCGTGCACAGCCTATTGCATAAGAGTGTGTACCCTAAAGCACAAACACACATGCCGTGTGTATATGTATGTGTATATGTGTGTGTGTGTGTGTGTGTGTGTATATATATATATATATATATATATATATATATATATATATATATATATATATATTACACACACATACACTGCTGTGTTTGTGCGTGTAAGGACGCTGTGCGTGTGTAAGGACACTGTGTGTTTGTGAGGGTGGTGTGTGTGTGTGTGTAAGGGTGATGTATGGGGATGCTGTGTGTGTGTGTGTGGGTGCTGTTAGTGTGTGTATTTGTTTGGGGGGACTGTGGGGGTGGGGCCATGGAGGCACATAGCGTGGGCCGCGGAGATTAGGGGATTAATGAAGTTGCTTAGATGGCTGGAGTCCCTCTGAGAAGCTTTACCTTCAGACGATAAGCAAGTTTTTTTAACAATTAAACAACTAAAATGATCATGTCTCATCTCTGCTCAGCCACATTACTGCACAGAGAAGGGAAGCATTGGGTGCCAATGAATAGTGGAGTGCATCAACTGATGTTCCCATCCAATGATTGGCTGCTGAGTGTGAGTAACAGTATATACTATGCTTGCAATAGGCAGCCACTTGGTTGAGTACCATAGATACATTAGTAATGACAGAGAAAAAGTTGGTCTGAATACTTTGCATTGCACAGTATTAAAAAATCAATAATTCGCATTTCATTTTTAACTTGAAGTTTAAAAAAAACTCTCCAATTAGTTATCTTTCATTACAAAGATAAGAGTTTAAGCATGTCTACCATTTGTCAGCCTTGTATTGCTTTTGCCCCTAGGGAGGACACCGACATATGTTTTTAATCACACAGAACAATAATAGTAGATAATGGGCCTCGTATAGTCACCTGCCTAGCGAGGCAAGGCTACCAGAGCTATCACATAAATCTTAATAGTACATTAGCATCGACAGACTTAAATATTGATTTTGTTCATGCACTAATGAAACTTGCAATTTGCAAGAAACATAGATATTTATGTAACTGATATTAACCTTTAACAAATTGCTTTGCTGTCAATGGGAAAAAAAAATGTACTTTTCTGAAGGACAGTGCTGATTGTTGTGAAAGATGTTTTTGGTTACTGGTTTCCGTTGTGACTGATTCTAATTTAGCTTTCAGTCATGGCTTATAGAATCTTGGGATACAAATGGGATTCAACATGCAACAATATAGGTTAATTTCCTACCAAATGAGAAACTGGTAGTACAAAGATAGCATGCATTTTACTAGTTCACAGAATGACATGGCTTAACACAAAGCCAAAAAGGGAAAAACATAGCCTGCAAGTAAGCCTAGTTTATGAAAATCAAGAGGACAATAACTTAAATGAACTACCTTGGTCAGGATTTTGATTATTATTATATTCATAGAGCGCCGTCAAATTCTGCAGCGCTTTACAATGATGAACAGGATCCACAAATTAGCCAGTTGGCATTGGAGTTCAGGAATAGCAAATGACTAGCCAGGTAAAAACAAAAAAATAGGCACATACTACAATAACATGCTATTGGCTGCAAGAACCACAAAAGGACATAAAGTCACATAATATGTTTAACTAGGTCACAGAAATGACACCATCAACCAATGGCAGTGAGAGAATGTATTTGGGCACTGGTGCACAATTTAGGACTAGGTTATGGTTAAGTGCTGAAAACTAAAGGCAAAATTAGAGAGTAGTAGGTCTGTGTCAATTAAACATGTGGTGATACAGTCATCCCTATTAAGATGCAATGAGCTGAGCATTGCATTGCTAAGAGGAGGCCGATTATAAAGTACCATCTCACAAAATAACTGAGCCTAAATGTCTGTTACTGTTTATGGAGCTGATGTCTTGCCATTAAATTACAGATTAACACCTATTTTTATTTTATTTTAAAAAAGCAATTGTGAACTTTACAATGCCTCTCCACTCTAAGCCCAAATATTAAATATATAATCCAAAAACCTTAGGTCTCTGTATCTGATAAATTGTTTGGAGGCTGAAATTAAAATCATGGAATCCTTAGCTCCTAGGAAATCTCAAGGAATTACTATACAGACGGCCTTTATGGTCTTTACACTAATTTCATTCCTAATGGGTGATTACCATAGATTAGATTTATTTGAGAGTTCCGTTCAATGTATGAGACTACTACCCAATGTCTATCTCATGAAAAAAAACAGTGGTAAACCATGTGTTAGAGGTCCCCACAACACACGGTATGTCCAACCCTAATTAGTTTTTTTAATCACATTACTACACCAAATCTTAGAATGGAGTCTGATTATTAAATAAATCTATATTTATAAACTTTGTATCTGCTTTATTAACCTCACAGTATACTGTGTAAATCATTCAGTGGCAGGAGAAACCACAAACCTGCAGCATAAAACTTGCACCCACTGCAGGTAAATCTCAGTCTCACTCATCACCTTATAGAAAAGATACCCAAAGGTAATCTACAATACAATGACAGAAAAAAACATTGTTTAAAGAAAAAAAGGGGGATAATGGAAAAATAAGTAGCACTCACAAACCAACACTGATTGTAGACATATCACTATGTGATCTTTTGGTAGCCTCAGGACTTATGGAACATCGTTGCATATAAGGAAAGGAAATAATACTGCAGAGTTTCCAAATAAAATAACACTATTTTAATACAAGGCACACTTACATAATAAAAGTGGCAAATAGGCACATCAAAATCTGTCAAATAGGTGTTCCGGTCTTAGGATCCAGAAGAACAGGAAAACCATGAAACTGTGGATAAGAAAAAAATAAACTCTGTGCACTAAAAATAGCCCTTCGGACCAATCCATGTGTAACAGCATACTTCCGGATGTGTCACTCAGAGTCCCTCGGATGTTTTCGGATATGTGAGTCAAGCCTCTCTTTCAAGTTACGTCCGGACGGACGTCGGCATTGAGTAAAACGATGCGTTCCGTTAGTCTGCAAGCATTCCACTGCTCATTAATGAGCATAATTAGTCCACAAAATCCAACGGAACATACAAATTAAGCAGATATTGCAAAACGTGATCAATAAATAGCCCAAAAAGAGGGGAATCGATCTGGCATAAAATAATAAGAATGAATTCTTACAAAATAGCTAAAATAAGTCTCAAATAAGTAATAGGAAAATTCCTCATAAAGAATGGAAGTATGCTGTTACACACGGATTGGTCCAAAGTTTCCCGCTCCAATGCCAGATGCATTTAAAAACAGACTACCGGTGCATCCTGTCTTCATGCCTTCTCGAGGAAAGGATACTTGCTTCATGCCCTTGAAGAAGTTCAAAGGATATTGAACAAAACACATAGGGCTATGTTTAGTGTATAGAGTTTATTTTAAATTTGACAATTTTTATTGGGTCATGTTGGTATAACGGCAGCAGATTATGTGACATACGTTAAGTATAACGTTATTACATACGGAAAACAACTGTTTATTTCACAGTTTGTAAGTACAGTTTAATGTTATTGTCTTTTCTGCTGCATAGCTTCTTGATACATCTTGTATATGACCCTAACATTTTGAGAAAATAAGTAGAAGAGGGAGAATTAGTAGTATAGTAAGGAAAGAGTAGGTCTAGAGAGGAAAGGAAGGGGATGGGGGGGGGGGAGGGTGGAGAATGTCTGTCTTGTAGTTGCTCCTTCCAATCCGAATGGGGGTCCGTGCTGAAGGTGTTTGTTGGGGGTGTTTGTCCTTCTAGTCTTCAATAGCCTTTCTCAGTGTTTTTGGTGGATACAGCAACTGCGGTATTCCACGCCTTGGAGGCCGAGCTCACTGCTCCACATCTGCCACGTTGTGTCCTTTGTGTCTGTATGTGTCCCATATTAGTTTGGCTTTGGCTAGTGTGGGTTTAGGGCCGAATTGGTGCTGGTGCATTGTTTCGTATGTCCAGTTTAATGCAATTTGATGTAATAGTTGTGTGACTGTTGGTGCCTTTTTGGATTTCCATTGTCTTGCTATTAATATGTGCGCTGATGTGAGTGAGTGGTATACTACGGCTTGATGTGTTTTGTGCATTGTGTCTGGGAATATATATAATAGGCAAAGTGTTGGGTCTGCTTCCATTTGGGAACCCAGCAATTCCGAAATCATTCGGATAGTCTGTTGCCAGAAGGGTATTAATTTGGGGCACGATCACCAAATGTGGATCATCGTGCCTTCTTCTCGCTCGCATCTCCAACATTTATTCGTGGAACTTGGCCAAATTTTTTGTATTTTTTCTGTACCATCGGTATAATATCTTCCTTTGTATTTCTAGGTGTTGGGCGCATGAAGTAATGCCCTTGTGGACTGTGTATGCTTTAATGAATATACCTAAAAATAATAAGGTGCGCTGTGTCTTTAAGACCCAAAAATATATAAAGTGCAACTAAGTGCAAACAAATTGATAAAGTGCAAAGTGATACAAAGTGCACTTAAAGTGTAGAATATCAGTATAAAATATTATACATACATATGGCCTCTCAACTCCAAATATACATAGAAAGGAAAAGAGACATAAAAAAACCAATAGTGTGAAACCGTATTAAAATGGTAGTATGGATAATAAATGCCAAATATTGCACTCACAAAAGTAGAGCAGAATAAGCCTGCTCTAGCTTTAACAGCTTCTTCAAATGTAGGACTGCAAAGACGAAAAAATATTCCAAAATCTTTCTTGCCCAGCACAGCACCAATATATCACCTTCCTCCACACTTAGTATTCAGTTACAGAGCCTTCGGTAGCATACAGCATAAGGGTGTCGACCTGTCCCTCTGCGGATTCGCCGCCGTAATTGCCGTCTGTTGGCCGTCTGTTTCCTCAAACTTCCAGGGGGAGGAGCTTTCTCGGGTGCGTGACGTCAGGTGCGTAACTTTACGTGATGTCTAGTTTTTTTTATATTAACAGGTTGTTTTGTTTTATTTTAGACGATTTTATTACGAGCGCCTACTTTTTACTTGTTTTCTGTGTATATTGTGTATGCTTTAAGCCATTGTGTGGGGTGTAGCACAATTCCAATTTCTCTGTGCCATGCATCTTTGTAGGGTTCAAGGGGTGTTGGTTGTATACCATGGAGCGCCTGGTAACATTTGGACAGGGGTTTTGTGGTTGGGGTATTTGATAGGCATGCATTTTCGAATTTCGAA